GATAGATAGATAGGTAGATAGATAGATAGAAAGAAAAAGACTGGAGTAGATAGATAGATAGATAATGAACTGATAAATTATAGACAAATACTTAGAAAATGTGTGATATATGTATAGATAGATAGACCATGAACAGAAACGTATAGATAGATAGATAGATAGATAGATAGATAGATAGATAGATGTTAATACATTTAAAAAAAAAGAATAAAATGTGTGAGAGTTTGGAGGATGAAACGCATCTGTACATAACTATATATAAACAGAGAGAAAAATATAGAGAGATATAGAGTGAGTTAGAGATTTTTTAAAGATGAAAATCAAAAACAAAAAGGAGAAAGAGAAGAAAAACGTGGTTGAGACATTAGTTTTGAAAGATAACAGTGGATATCGTGGGGTAGAGGGAATGGGCGGTGTTCGGTTTAGGATTCCAGCCCGGGTTTGGTGAGGGTGATGTGTTAAAAGGCAGATTCACTGGCTGAGGTCGGTGGCAAATTTTCGTGGGGTTATTAAATGAATTTGGAAAGAGGGTGGTGCATGGGTGGGGTTTGGTCCTGCCCTGCTTTGCCAAACAACACGGCAGCCCAGCACCCATCCCCATCCATCTCTTCACGCCGCCTGAAACGCAGCCTGGGAATTGGTCTCACCAACCGACCATCCGTGTGTGTCCGTCCGTAGATTCAACCAAAATTAAAAGAAAAGATTTTAAACAGACGACACTTCCATTGAATAAAGACCAAAACGGCTGGGGTAGAGGATGTAAATTAACGCCATGTTGTATCCGGGGAGACGTTAGTCCGGCGACGCCCGAAACCTCCGTTCTTCTTGTTCGCCGCCCTATATTTTTTTAAAATCGTGTTTCCAGGAACGTTCACCGATTGGAAAGTTTTTGTCTTCTGCCGACTGACGGGGGGATAAAAAAACATAGAATTTGATTGGGGGGGGTATATATGGGGCTGTTTCTTATTATAAAATGGGAATCATAGAGGTTATTTGATATAAAAAAAAAAGCAAGCAAGAAAGAAAGTAGATGAAAAGCAACGACTAAAAACGTAGCGGCCTCAATCACAAAATTTATTTTCAAAGCCGAAAATAAAAAATCGGCAAAAAGGTATAATCATACATACTAATATACAGATGAATTTGGTCCGAATTACCCCAACCCTGTACGCCATTTTTTTTTTTTTTTTATAGTTTTGGTTTTAATGTAGGTAAGAAGAGGGTGATGGGATAATTAAGTATTTTCTAGTTCTAATATATTCTTTCTATTTTTCCTTCTTTCATTACGTCAAATTTTTCTTGGTGTTTGCTGGTTTCATCGGTTTGCCCGAGATTTTCAAGATGGCGACCGAAAAGAGCCCTTCGTCATTAAAGAAAGGAGAAAAAAAGCGGAAAAATGAGAGTGATATGAGACGGCATTTACTTTATAAAGACGAGGAGCGGATATGATGGGATAACAGACGGGATAACGAAGAATCCGGCTTAGAATCAAAAAACAATGATTCAGGATTAATCAAGCGATGGAGAAAAAGGAAGAAGAATAAACACGAAATCATCATAATATGGAGAATACCAAAGATGATGACGTTGGTTTTTGCATTTCTAAAGTAATTTAATGTATAAAACAAAAGTTTGTGTTTGTGCGTTTTAAAACAAAATTATATATATATATAGTGATTTACAACGCGTATTTAAAACCGAGTTGAGGCTGAAAGTATTCAACACCCAGTGAGGATCGAATTCACTTTTCAGTCGTAACTGTACTATTAGACAAATTTGCTAGCCGTTAAATCATGACGATATTAGCACTTCGACGTTTAGAAAAATTTGTCTTTTTAGTTCAATTACGTACGACTGAGAATAATATATATATATATATATATATATATATATATATATATATATATATATATATATATATATATAAATGTAATGATGAGAACGAAAATAATATAAATTCTAACATTCACAGCATTTAATTCAAAAAATATTTAAATACCAAGTGTAAACCAATAATTATTTATTAAAAAATTTTTATACGGACAAAAAAAAAAGTTTTGATTCGAATCAGTCGAGATGCAGCTGCATCGAAACAAAATTTTAATGCATATATTGGGTTAGTAAATTGTTTTTTGTCCGTATGGAAAAATTTAATATATATATATATATATATATATATACTATCTTGTGTGTGTGTGTGTGCGTGTATGTGTGCCAAGCGTATTGTGTGTGTCAGTATGTGTGTGTTCAATGTGTGTGTGTGTGTGTATTCAAATATATATTTCAATAAAATATTATGAACAACAAATATCTATTATCTTTGCTCATGATCAGATATAATGGACATTCGTTGTCTGTTATATTTAATAAAAATTAATTTCAATAATAATGCATTCAAACACACACAAACACACACATACATATATATATCACATATATATATATTTATATTAAAATATTTTTTTTACATTGATATAATATATAATAAAGATTAAATACAGGAAAGGCTAGACAGACGAATCGTGGCCTGACGATTGCGTCTAGCATGAAAACATCGTCTGTTTAATTCATTTCAATATTCAATTTTATGTTTACACACGCCCTATCTCTGATATCATTTTTTGTATCGCATAAATATAGCACACCTTAAGACTATATTTGTTCATATATATATATATATATATATATATATATTAAAATATTGTTATTAAAGACTACGGAACTCTTCCGTTTGATGATCTTTTTCTTAGTTTTTTCTTGCTTCCTCGCAAGTTTCTTAATGTTTGGGTCTAGGTTGTTAAAATAGGATCCGAGTCGATAAACGATTCTGCCGAAACTTTCGGTTGTCCCCGACCGTCATCATGGGGTTTGTTTTTATTTGAAGATATGTTAAAATTGGTTGGTTTAGTTTTATAGATAATATTAGACGATGGGTTAGTTCGTATACATTTTTGTTTTGATTAAAACGACTGACAAAGTACTGTAGGTAGTTTATTTTTTAAAATTTAATTGTTCAATGTATTTATAATTTTCAGATAATGATTAAAAAAGTTAAAATAAAGCATCAAACAAACATTTTGACAATTTCTATATAATTTTTTGAACAGAAATAAAGAAAATTCTAAGAAGACAAGAAAAATTCTAAATAAAATAAAAAAAATGAACAGAAGTACTTTGTCAGTCGTTTTTTAAATCAAACATTTATAAAAAGGGATTAATACCCAAATACACAATTATATATATATATATATATATATATATATATATATATATATATAGTAAAAAAAAGAACAGTAAGATATATAATCCGGTGTTCTTATTGATATTTTTATTTTTACAAAACATGGTTATTTGTAAATTTATTTTTTTGATAAATATTATAAATTAACTAACTTAAAATATGTTTCCTTCGCTAACAGGAATTAAAATTCGCTTGAAGGTTAAACAAAAAGTAATGCTTTTAATTTAATTATATAATTAAATTTGAAGTTTTTTAATGGAGTTTCGAAACATGGCAATTCCTTTGTAGCGAAGGTGTCCTAATTTTCAAATAGAATAATTGTAATTTTACAAGGAAAGGTGTCCATATAGGTCGTGTGCAATTTAAAAAAATTATAACTTTATTTGTATTTTTGAGAGAAATAATTTGTAAAAAAATGTTATAAAGTTTAATATACCTAGTTTTAAGTATAGCTAAAATAACTAATGTGATTTCAGGCATTACTGTAAATCAGTTGGCAAATGTTTTCCGTGAACTGCAAAAACCTATCCTTTGTATTGCTAATGATGGAGGACATGTGGAAACTTAAATAAAATTTCAATAAAACCTTAAAAATATAGATTTACTTCTTTCTAATCCTTTTTACAAATTATTTCTATCGCATATATAATATAGTTAGAGTTTTTCAAAGTGCACACGAACTTTATGGACACCCCTATATATATATATATATATATATATATATATATATATATGTAACCAAATATATGGATATAGATCCGACAGTATGAAGAAAAATATACGGAAAAAAACAAAGAAAAAACCTAGTAAAAAATTATGCTGTTTTAATGTTAATATAATGTCAACGTCGGACGTTTTAGTCTTGCTTTTTTCTGTCCATCGTCTTTTTCATGTTGAATTAAATATAGTCTAATGTCAATTATGTTTTATGAAACTGTCCTGAAGATAGTCTATTAGACCGAAACGTCCGACGTTGACATTATATTAACATTAAAACAGCATAATTGCATATTAGGATTTTTGTTTGTTTTTTCCGTATACTTTTCTTCATATATCTCTTGGACATGAGTAGAGGCTTACGCCTTGTTCCTTGTTTAGGAAGAGGTTTCCGGTACTCTCTCTCTCTCTCTCTCTCACTGGCCTCTGTATCTCCAGTTGCGTTGATCTATCCACTACTCTTCTCCTCATCCTTTCTTCTATCACTCCTATCTGACCTTGATCCAAATTTTCTGTAACCCCTTGCGTCCTAGTGGCTTTTACGCCTTGCTTGGGGTGAATAATATATATATATATATATATATATATATATATATATATATATATATATATATATATATATATAATTGATTTATCTCCGTGAGGATAAAAGTTGTAATATTGAAAGGCAATTTTTCATTTGTAGGACCTCTCGATTTGCTACTGTTGATATTAGTTTTACTGTTTAAGACCCCCCCTCATAAAGAAAACCGAAAGAACAGGGATATCAATTCAAATACATGTACCTACCAAAATTAACATATATATATATATATATATATATAGTAATAATAGATAATGTTGAATTTTAAAAAATAGATATAAATATACACTATGTGTTGTTTCTATAAATATTTTCTATGCTTTGCTGTGGTACTTTAAGCGCACTAGAGGACGGTAAATGCGACACTGACATATGGCACCTATCGGGATGGCCAAGGACGCATTCCGAAAAGCCGAGCTGGATATTACAAGAGAGGGAGGATTTTGGGAACGAAAAAAG